GTCCCCAAAGAAATGTAGCCAGTTTCTGGGCTAAAAGTCAAAATGTCCTTGGGCCTGTTAGCAACATACTCTGTTCCAAAAGCAAAAAATGTCAAAAGTATTTGGGAGCTTGTATCTAATCCTTCAAAGATTTTAGGGTTACTGCTTCAGAGGGGGGAATGGTGGAGGGGAGGGAGTGGGCATGGATTTGATCAAAACACCTTATATGCATGTATGAAATTCTCAATAAAGTTTTTGCAAAAGTTAAACAAACAAACAAAAAAATAACACTGGCTGTTCTTGCAGAAGACCCGGGTTTGAACCCCAGCACCCACATGGCAGCTAACAACTGTCCGTAACTCCAGTTCCAGGGGATCTGACACCCTCTTCTGTCCTCTGCAGGCATTGCACGACATGGGTGCACTTACCTACATGCAGGCAACACATGCATACACATAAAAATAAAAATAAATATTAAAAAAAATTTTTTTCAATTCTCAAACACTTGCTAAAAAATTCTGCCACTATGTCCTCATTTAATGACTTACCTGAAATGTTATTTTGGGGTTCTAAGATTGCTCAGGGACAACTACATTCATCAACAAATGCCAATATTATTCAACTGAATGTGGTAATGATTATAATCTTAATTTACAACATGGAGATTAAGGAAAAAAGGGCAGGAAAGGGAAGAAAATCTCTTTGTAAGAAAGAATTAAGGTGAAACTAAGGAATGGCTGGGGGAGACAAAGACTGCTGGTAAACTGCAGATTCTGTCCACACCATTTCTATCACACACTATTTTAATGTTTCCATTCTAAACATACTTTCAAGTGTGGCAAAATGAAAACAGAGGATGGTGAACAGGAAAAGTGTAATTATTTATATATTTATATTTTAAAATTATATTTCAAACAAAATTTGCATACCAGGTATGGTAGTACACGCCTTTAACCCCAGCACTCAGGAGGCAGAGGCAGGTGGATCTCTGTGAGATGAAGGCCAGCCTGGTCTACATAGTGAGTTCCAGGCCAGCTGGGGCTACAGGGACACCTTGTTTTAAAAAAGAGCACCACCACCACCATCAACAAAACCCCTCAAAATCTGTTGTTTCTGTCTCCCCCTCCCTACCCCCTCCCTTGTTCTTTCCCACTTTCAGTGGTTTCTTTTCTATTTTCAAGTATCAGAAAGACAAAAATATGCCCATTCTCTCTCGTCTAGGGACCCTAACTTTTAATGTTTGTATGTATGTAAGGAAAAGCGTATTTAAGAAATGAACACACCAAAGAGGAAACTTTCCTACCTCTGCTTTCCTGGCCCCAAGTTTTTTTTTTTTTTTTTTTTTGTCTTTTTGAGACAGGGTCTCTCTGTAGCTGTGACTGAAGCTCGGATATAATTAACAAAGAAAGGAATGATTCTGCCACAAGATTTCTTTCTTGGGTAGGTTCTACAGCTGGTTTGCATTAAAGGAACAACACAGACAGTAAAGAGAGAAGAGTGGGGAATTGCAGTCTTTTCCTTGGAGATAAGGTTTAAGTTGGCATTAAGTCTGAAAACTGGACTTCTAAGTAAAGGTGACAAGGTCCCAGTTGCCTTCTATTGGGAATTTTAGGAAAAGGAATCAAAAACAAAGAGCTTACTGAGATGTATGTGTTTGCGAGGTGTGCCCATCCAAACAAATCTGCAAGTCTGTACAGACTGGCGAGTTTACAGCGAGCAAGTTTTTCTCCCTTCACGTATGAGGATGTATCTGCACCAGGAAGGTCATTGATAGGTGTGACCATGCCAAGACCTAAAAGGAAAAATTGTGTAGAGTCAGTTAACTTGGATGCTAGCAAGTAGCCTGTGTCTGGAGTACCCCAGCTTTGTAAATAGGGATCTGAAACTTATCTGTGCACAGAACATTTTTTTAGCTTAGCCTCCTTTCAGAGGAGTACACTAAGATTAAAAATAGGTGTTGGCTATCTTCACTGATGGCTTGCTAAGAATCACTTTATCCTGTACCTGCTAGGGAGTGACTTCAGCAAGGGCTCATATCACTGGGGAAAGATGACTAGATGACTCCAAAGGTAAAAATGCTATCAAGTACTAAGTTTATTTCTAATATTATGATAAAACAGGTAAGCAGATACTATTCTAATATCTCTTTTGACTTAAATATAAAAACACACTTAAAAATAAAAAAATGCACACAAATAATTGACTTCTGCTCTCTTGGGTCTCTAATGTTCTAATTGCCATGTTCAGTTGGTACCAAGTTCAAAGTTCAGCTTTTTTTTAAATTGTTATTTTTTATTTTATGTGTGTGAGTATTGTCTGCATGTAGGAAAGTGCACCTGTGTTGTGCAATGCCCTCGGAGGACAGAAGAGGCTGTTGGATTCCCTGGAACTGGTGTTATGGACAGTTGTTAGCTGCCATGTGGATGCTGGAATTTGAACCCGGGGTGTTCTGCAAGAACAACCAGTGTTCTTAACTGCTGAGCCATCTCTCCAGCCTCCAAAGTTCAGCTTTTGTTCAGTCACATTCTTCTTGACTTCCTACAGTTTGATGCCACCTACCACCACCTCCTTCCTAGAATTTGTCCCAAGCCCAGAGGATACTATACTAGACTTCTTGCTTTCTTTCTACCTGTTTCATTTCTCCTTCAGTAAATTCTCCCTCTTTTCTCCAACTTGTCTCTTCCCAGAGCTTAGGCCTCCATTATGTTCTTTTTTTTTAGTTTACTTTTCCCCATGAAAACATTATACCCCCTCCCCATGTTATTTTTATGTAAATGACATCTTGATCTTCATCTCTGAACAGGTCCTCTTCCTCATTCTCCATCCTGCCATTTCTAACTGCGTGTGACACCATAATATGAAAAATTTTAAAGTCCAAAAGTGACTTCACACCTTCATCTCCCCCTCTTTCTTTCTCTCATCTCTATCTTGTCTCTCCTTTCTTCTCTTTACTCCTCTAATACTGACAACATTGCAATTTCTGGAAGCTCAATTCTTGGCAATCTTTACTTCTTAATAGTTCCTGGGCCACCAGTGGTAACTTACCACCTTGTTCCCTTGTTCTTTTCTTTATAAGGTCTCTTGATTTCCATACTTGGGCTCAGGCTTAACTCACATACAGATCCCTGCAACAAGCCTCTCTTTCTTGCTCCTGACTGTAGCCCCTTTCTGGAAATCTATTCCGAATAAGCCATCAGATTGTTTCCCCAAGCATCGCTTTTAACAGAACTTTTAGAGAGAAACGCAAGAGCCAGTATGGTGGTGCATACCTACAGCCCTTGCACTTGGAAGGTAGATTCAGGAGGATCCAGAGTTCAAGATCAAGCAGCGAGTTTGAGGAAAGCATGGGCTATATGAGGCCTTGTCTCAAAACAAAACAAAATAAAACAAAAACAAACAGAAGCTGCAAATGTGAAATCTTCTAATTTTGAAACACTGCAAACTAATCTAAAGAAGTAGTTTCAATCATATGTAAGCCACTCTAAAACACTCAGAGGAGAGCATCTTATATTAGCCTTCCCCGTACATTCTTCCACAGAAAATAGTGTGTTCTTTAAAAATCATCATCTTGTTTAAAATATTTTATTAACTATTTTTATTTATTGCCTTCATGTGTGTAAGTGCACTTGTGTCATGCAATGCCTGTGGTGGTCAGAAGAGTCCAGATCCTCTGGAAGTGGAGTTATGGATGGCTGTTAGTCACGTGTGGGTGCTGGGAATCAAACCCGGATCCTCTGCAAGAACAGTCACTGATCTTAACCTCTGGGCCATCTCTCCAGCCCCCTACCCCCCAAATCATCATCTTGTTTAAAAACATCTTCCCAACAAAGTTAGGAATAAGAGTCAAACTTCCTTGGTCTTTTACTATTATTTGACCCACCCATGTTTCTGATGTAACTTTATTTACTTATCCCTTTGAAAACCAAGCAGACTATTAGCTTTTATTTCTGCTCCTTGAAGAGACCAAACTCATTTCCACCTGGCAACTGTACTAGTTCCCTTGACTGAGGATGTTTTATCTCCTTCTCAAGATATACTACACTCTTTGCTAATCAAATACCAGTTTAAAAATGACCTCCTCAGAGTTTGTCTCTGATGATCCAAACTAGCATGCCCATCCAGGTCCCTCCCATAACATCACCAAATTGTAATTCTCTGCAAAGCACTCCCTATTACCTGATCAGACTTATTTTTTGACTCCATGGGAAAAGGAATCTTGTTTGTATTTTGTCAGTGTAGTCCTTGTTTCTAAAAAACAGTGCTTGGTACAAATGTCCAATAATATTGAGTGAATAAAACTAGCTTAACTTTTGAATTTTTTGTTGATGCTGGTATGATGTTTCTCTGAAGCTGGAACTCAGCCTGTTGTGGTTGGCGTCAGTTGTCAACTTGACACACCCAGGAAGAAGTAACCTCAACTGGGGTTACTTCTATCAGATTGGCCTGTGGGCAGTCTGTGAGGCATTTTCTTGACTGTTTAGAGATGTGGGAGGGCCCAGCCCAAAGTGAATGGTGTCACCCAAGGGCAGGTGGTCCTGGGTTGTATAAGAAAGCAGACTGAGCTGGGTGTGGTGGTGCATGCCTTTAATCCCAGCACTAGGGAGGCAGAGGCAGGCGGATCTCTGTGAGTTCAAGGCCAGCCTACATAGTGAGTTCCAGGACAGCTGGGGCTACAGGGAGACCCTGTCTCAAAAAGAAAAAAAAATAAAAAGAAAAAAAGAAAGCAGACTGAACACAGGCCAGAGGAGCAAGCCAGTAAGCAATGCACCTTCTTGGTCTCTGCTTCAGTTCCTGCCTCCTGGTTCATGCCTTGTTTTCCTTGATGACGGACTGTAACCTGTAAGCCAAGAAACCCTTTCCCCCTCAAGTTGGTTTTGGTCAGTGTCTTATCACAGCAACAGGAAGTTAGCTAAAACACAGCATTATGTAGCTCACCATTCTGCCCTTTCCTAAACAAATCCAATCTGGGACTGAGTCCCGTTTCTTGGCTATGTTCTTCTCCTTGGTTTTTTTCCCTCACATGCCTAGTCACACATCAATCCAGGTACTTACATCTCACATTGAGATTCATTCAAGGTCTTTAAATGATCTGACTTCTGTTTCTTTCCCTTTCCTGGTACTTATTAAGATCATTAGCCGTTTTTTCTTTACAAAGGCTTTTACTTTCCATGCTGGCAGCCCTCCTGGGTCTAACAGTGAAGGACCTTTATAGTCTGACCCCACCTCCTTTGACCACCTCACCTTATACCTTCCCACTACCATGTCTCAAGTCTTTGGAAAAGACTTGAGTTTAATAAAATCCTACTTAGTAATCTCTAGCAACAAAAGAAAGGAATGACATAAAAGAAGGGAAGGGGAGAGTCCTCTTAAATCTTGAATCTTCCATGAAACGATCTCTGCTAGTTCTGGCACTGTGCACTTGCCCTCATATTGCAGTGATTCTGTGTACATCTCAGTCAAAACACAGAACCCTAGAGCTCACAGCCTTATGGTTCTTGGTATTACAGAGTTCAGCTTAAAAAATGGTGTTCTTACCAATGGGCTACTGAATGAAAAACCACCCAAATCCTATGCACCAAGCTCTCACTATTTTATCCTTCGAAATCTGACCAGTTCAGTTCTCTTCTTCCATCAAGTTTTCCCTCTGTCGACTTTGGCCAATAATTCCAGTTTTTGGCTTATAGCATGAGGACTTATGAAAGGGAAATAGTTTCTTATGAACAGCTTTCTAACTTTTTCTGCTATCATTACTGTTGTGGGCTAAGCCTGGAAAGTTCCTGCAGGATCATGTTTTGGATGCTTGGTTCCCAATCTGTATCATTATTTTGAAGGCTTTACAGCTTTCAGGAGGTGCGAGCCTGGTTAATGGGAAGTAGGCCACTAGAGACAGACCTGCCCTGGGTTCTGGCCTGCCTCCTCTGCTTCCTGGACATGTACAGCTGCTCCGCCAATGCTCCCACCTTACAGAGTTGCTCTGCTTTCCCTGCCATGATGAACTGAAATCCCTCTGAAACTCAGGAAAATAAAACTTCCCTCTTTTAAGTTGTTTCTGTCAGGTGTTTTTGTTACAGAGAAGCAAAAGTAACTAATACAATGGTCTTCGAGGATAATTAAAAAATATCTATTGGGGATAGAGAGCATGTCTTAGGATAATATTTTATAAGACAAAGTCTAGTAAGTGCCTGGTTGATATGTTACTATAAGTATCGGTGTTATTAACTTATTTTTTTAGGTACTAGGGATTGAGACTAGCGTCACAGGCATGATAGACAAGTACTCTATCACTGAACTACAGTTATAGACTTTCTTTATTTACTCTTGAGGGTCCTCATTAAGTTGCCCAGGCTAGCCTTGATCTGAAATTCTTGTGCCTCAGCTCCTGAGCAAATGCTACTATAAGCCTATGACACCAGACCCAACTAGATGTCATAAACTCAAAGGCTATCTACTAGAATATGCAGCTAGAGATGTTCAGTGTTCTAAAAGAGAGATAATATAAAATCATAATTTAAAAAATTCTCCAAAACTGACATACTCAGAGGAGGTGAAGAAAAGCCTGAGAATGAACTGGCCATGATGTACTCTGCAATCTGTTGTAATGCTAGTAATCCAGTTGGGTTGTGGCCTTTCTTCATCTGTTCTTGAATGAGGCATTCCAGGTCTTCCCGAAAGGCCTGCAATACACAAAGACAACCACTGAACACACACATCTCACACTGAGAAGAATGCTCTAAACCTGTCCCGATATTACTCTTTCTCTCAAACCTTTTGAGAGGGGTTATTGCCCATGCTATTCACAATTAAATATGAAACACAAAATGATAAAATTAAGACACTAGAAGAAGAAAGAATTAAGATGCATTTTTTTTCTTTTGGTCTTTTTGAGACAAGATCTGCCTATAGCCCCAGCTGGTCTGTAACTTGCTATGTAGACCAGGTTGGCTTCCATCTCACATAGACCCATCCATCGGCTTTTGCCTCCTAAGTGCTAGGATTAAAGGTGTATGCCACATTGCCCAGCTTGGTGCTTTTCTTTTTATTTTTTGAGACAGGGTCTCCCTATGTAGACCAGACTGTCCTTGAACTCAGATCCTCCTGCCTCTGCCTCCCAAGTGCTGGGACTAAAGGCATGTGCCACCATGCCTGGCATGTAAGATGCTCCTTTTTTTATTTGGTCTTTTTGAGACAGGGTCTCCCTGTAGCCCCGGCTGGCCTGGAACTCACTTTGTAGACCAGGTTGGCCTTGAACTCCCAGAGATCTGCCTGCCTCTGCCTCCCAAGTGCTGGGACTAAAGGCATGCGCCACCATGCCTGGCTAAGATACTTTTCTTAAAGCAGGAAAAAAGCATTAGGCATCCATAATCTCAAAGAAAAAGAGGTATGCTATCTACATTAGACAGGTATAGGTAAAATGATTGGTATAAATTTACAACTTGAACGTCAGATGTTAACCAATGCAAACAGACATTCCTTGTTTTGCAGCTTTGTCAGCTAAATTAATTCAATCCCTATTTGAATGTGGTACCCCTCTATATATACAGTGTTTCACAGAAAAAGATTTTATGAAGACATACAAAATCATGGTTTTAATTTTATGGTTTCCATGGCAAGTCCTTAGAATTAGTTCCATAAATGCTGAATCCAAACTAGTAAGAAAAGCTAAGTATTAACCACTTCTTTTTAATGCTAGCTAGAGAAATAGAATTTTTTCCTAACTTTAGGTTCTATACATTCCTATGCTGGAGTTCTGCTGTATGCTTTTATTGGGAAGGGGTAGCAGAAGTCATGTTTATATAAGTCAAAATCCTGAACACTGAAGAGAACAACTTTATTCTAGTAACTTTTGGGGGTGGGGATTGAGCCTCATACCTGCTCAGTAAGGAGCCACATTCCCCGCCCTTCCAGTAACTCCTGAGTTGTTAATATGATTTACCATCTAAAACTTCTCACAATCTTTTACATTAGTTGAAACATTTGGTCTTATCTTCCCAGCACATACAATCTACATTTGCCTTATTAAACTAATATTTATGTATTATTTGTTTTCTTGCTTGTATCTACTCATTTTATACATGAAGGTTCTTGTAATATAACTCATTCAAAACATGCTCTTCTTTTTGAGACTTGCTACTTGTAGAAATGAAATTCAATTTTCCTCTCTAAGGGGGAGACAGTTTCCTTGATATGAATACCTTGGAGATCACTGAAGAAATCTCTCTTAGAAGAATCATTCTCTTTTAGACAATGACAACAGTCTTCTTCATAAGGGTAAATAAGATCCTTGTCATCCTCACTTAGTAGCATTGTTTAGAGGATGAATTAATAATAGCATGGGATCCTATGACAACAGAATTTAGCACAGGAAGAAGGTCATCCTTCCCAATACACCATGGTGGCCCACACTGGTATATATGTCAAAAGTAAATCCGTAGCTCTTGTTTGTCAGTGGAAAATCAGCTTTCAGCACTATCACCACGTGGTGGAGGAAGTGCAGTGGAAATGGGCTGAACAGACTTTTACAGCATCGCTCTCATCCACACATAGGCATGTACACTGAATATACACCACATCTTGGATATGGAAGCCACTGATAAACCCTTCTGGGCAGTACAAGCTGCTCTTGGGATGATTCAGGGAAAGCAGAAAATCCAAAAGAAAGAGACTATACTTTCTGCTAATAAGGCAGATGGATGTTTGGATAATTAAAACATTGCTAACTGAAAAAAAAAAGCTGTTAACTATAACTGTGATTTCATTTGAATCTTGAATTCATGAACAGTTTACAATAAATATGTTTTTCTCTTACAAATTCAAGGCTTATTAAATGTAAATCATTAGTATAATCATAAAAATGCAAAAACACATAACTGAATTTAAATGTATGATTGAAACCAGAGTAAGTGTCTCAGAAACTATCCTCTACAAAGATATACCACATTTACTAGAAAACTCTACCCAAGACCCTGTGAACACAAAATGGCTGTGAGCTGTGTTTAAGATGAATGAATGCTTCTATAAAGATGAGTAATTTAAGTATTTTACCATGCTGAAAGGAAAAGCATTTCCAGACATCGCCATCTATCTTTATATAACTATAGAAAAAATTCAGATACATGTTAACAGGCCAATCCATTCTTATAAAATGGTATTCTCCCTTTAAAACAAAACTATTTAAAGCTGCCCCAGTTCATATCCACTATAGCCAATATTCTTAAAAAATGTTTAAAGTTTATTTTTATTTTATATGCATTAGTGTTTTAAAAATATTTTATTTAAAAATATTTTATTTATTATTTTTATTTTATGTGTATGAGTTTATTGCCTGCATGTATGTAAGTGCACCTGTGTTGTGCAATGCCCACGAAGGACAGAGGAGTCCACTGGAGCCCCTGGAACTAGAGTTATGGACAGTTGTTAGCCGCCATGTTGGTGCTGGGATTCAAACCTGGGTTTTCTGCAAGAACAGCCAGTGTTCTTAACTGCTGAGCCATCTCTTCAGCCCCATATGAGTGTTTTTTTGCTTGTATGTTTGTAAATGCACCTGTACATGCAATGCCCATAGAGGCCAGAAGAAGGTGTCTGGTTCCCCAGGAACTGGAAGAGTTAGGGACACCTGTGAACTGCCATGTGGATGCTGAGTTTTGAATCTGGGTCCTCTGAAAGAGTGGCCAGTGCTTTTAACCTCTGAGTCATCTCTCCAGCCCCAGCTATCACCATTATTTTTTTATTCAGTTTAAGAACAGTAGTAATACAGGGCTAGAGAGATGGCTCAGTGGTTAAGAACACTGGTTGTTCTTGTAGAAGACCCAGGTTTGAATCCCAGCACCCACACTGTAGCTAACAACTGTCTGTAACTCCAGTCCCAGGGGATCCGACAGCCTTTTCTGACCTCCATGGGTACTGAACAACATAGGTGCACTTACCTACATGCAGGCAATACACGCATACACATTAAAAAAAAAAAACAGTAATACACGCTAACTGTATTAACTACAACAGCTTTGAGAAGGGGGCATTGTCTATTTTATTCAATGTCCATGGCCCTATATTCTTCCTGGAAGAATTTAAGGTAGCTCCCAATAAATTAAAATGAAAAAAATAATTTAAATATAGGTAAGAACAAAAATAATTTAAGTATAGGTAAGAAAAGTTAGGCTAAAGAGAAAAATAAAACCAAGGAGGTGAGACAGAATGAGGAATGAGGTAAAGATACTAAGTGTAACCACAAAGTTGTATGTATTTGCTAGAGATGGGTTAAATTTTATCTAAACTCTCAGGGAACCAACATGAATCAGGAAAACCTGCTCAGTGTGCTGATTTATAATGGCCTTAAGATTAAAGAGCAACTAGTTATGCAAGAGACTCACAAGCATTTGTTAAACTAATGAAAAATTTCTGCTAGGTGGGGTGACATAGCTAAACAAGGCTAAAAACCTGTTCAAAGTCACAAAGCTAGTAAATATCAGAGGAAGGATACAGATCAAGTTTCTAAAAATATTTTTGTTAGTAAAAATGTTCTCATTTCTATATAATCTACAATATAGCAAGCAGCACCCCAAAGCTTTGGCTTCTCCATGGTGTCACAGAAAGATGTAGACGCTCTTCTGAAATCAAGTATGTAAGGCTAAATGGCTACTATATATTATCAGTAAAGAATGCTATTTTCAGTGAAAATAAAAATACTCCAGCCTTTTCATATTGTTGACAATGTTTCGGCAGATAAGAATTCCTCTAATGTGAAAGATTTAATTTATTTTGTCACAAACATCCACAACTCAATTTTTGTTTTTAGTTTTTGAAATATCACTCATAATTACTTAGGTCATAAAACAGCAGTGAGTATAAAAATCACATCTGAGGGGCTGGAGAGATGGCTCCGTGTTAAGAACACTGGTTGTTCTTGCAGAAGACCTGGGTTTGAATCCTAGCACCCACATGGCAACTAATAACTGTCCGTAATTCCAGTTCCAGGGGATCTGATAGCCTCTTCTGACCTCTGTAGGCATTGCACAACACAGGTGTACTTACCTATATGCAGGCAATACATGCATACACATAAAATAAAAATAATAAAAAAATCACATCTGATATAAACTGTTTCAGTTGATTTTAGAGAACTTTTGGCAATAAACTTTCAAACACTAAAGGAGTCAGGCATGGTGATATATACTTGTAATCCTAGCACTCAGAAGGATGAGGCAGGAGAATATTCAATTTGAGGACAGCTTGGGCTACTTTGTCTTAAGATTATGAAACAATAAGCCAACCAACAAATAAAATATTAAAAAATACTGTATTTATCTTGAAGAAAAATCACTAATCATTTTCCTACAACAATCTAATGTCAATAAAGTTATTCTTTGTAGTTGATCCATGTGAACACAGAAGATTCCCCAAATCAGCAATGACTTGCTCAAGGCTGCATCATTAATAAGTAAAAATGAAGATTCAAAGTGAGAACTTTCAAATGAGTAGTCCTTTCCTAATTGTATCACGGTCTGGATTGTGTCTCTGAAGCCAAATATAAGGCAGTATGCATGTTGTGATCAGAAATATTGAGTAAACTTCTTCTGAAGCTGTATTAGAGCATTTGGTTGGATGTCCTGGACAAAGCAAATGAAATTATTCAGTAAATTGTGGCGATTTGAGTGCCAGGCTAAATATCTGCCCTGTA